TTTTGAAGAGTTTTTCTTTACTTGTTTTTTATGTAGTGTTTCAACAGCCACAGAAAGGTTGTATTTATAAATACAATGAGGTTCCTAATGTAATATTTATTGTTTATCTATTATTGACTGGTAATTCCTGTTTCTCCCTGTTCTTAAGTTTTTTGAAGAAACACTAAATTTCCGTAAGAAAGGTAACATTAAGGGGTAATGAATTATAATGGTTTTAATTACTACTACTTATTAATGATACTTATAAAAACGGATACTCCGTTTGAAACTATGTCACCTCAGTGAAATTGGTTGCCACCATTGTTTTGGTTTTTGAGTTATCATGTAATAAACAATAAACAGAAGAAAGAAGAACAAGAAATTAAAACTTTTTTCTATAATATTTACAAACATTCCCAGAACTAGTGACTCAGTCATTACATAGATATTGTTATAAAAGTAAACACTATTTAGTATTGTAAAGTTATGATGACCTATTGAGGAAATATTTAAAATACCATTTAGATGAACAATCCAAGCCATACCTACATTGGCAGTGCTGCCATCTACCTGATTAATGTTATATCTTTGACATATTAAGGCTACTTTAGAACTAAATGATCAACATTGCCCGATCCAAAATACTATATTATTATTATAGCAGAAGTCTCTTCTTTCATGGAAAAAATACTGAAAATTTAGTTACAATGTTACACAGGTAACATTTAGAAACTTACCTTGTTTCTTTTTTGTTTTGTTTGTTGTTAAGTGCAAAGCTATGCAATGGGTTATTTGTGCTGTGCCACTCAGGGCTAACTGATATTATACCATCACAGTAACAATGAAATATTACTGCTGCTAGTGTGGAGAAGTTAAACATTACTGTTACTTATCAACACAATAATCATCAGAATATCATCGGAATAGACTTTCTAGTTTTATTCTTATTCATTCCTTAATGGTTTTCAAACATTATAAAATAAAATTATAGATAATGAAAATTTTATTTTATGGAAATTTTATATTATTCTATTTTTAATAAACATAAACTATTTGATGAATACCAAAAAATACTAGATTTTTTACTTTGGCTAAGTACTCATTTGTCAAATAAATAAAATCAGCTAATGATTATTAATTTCCCTTGATTTGATACAAAATGTCTGAGTAACTACAAAATTGTTATAGATACAGTGCTTAACATTGTGGTAAACACATTTATACATATGTAAAATAATACTGAATTGTCTGGAAAAGTGAACAAAAACCAATCTATCATTCAATTTCCCACTTTTCACTGAACTAGATTGATATTTGGGGAATTCCACCCCTCATCAGTAACTTTGGACAAGGGCAAATAGAAACAAATAAGACTGGTTTTATATAAAGATGACTGAAAGAAATTTCAAAACACCATACATAATGTTTCAGAGTATTGTTACAACAGGTGACTACTAAATGAATCTAAGTTTTTTTTTCTAAATCTTAAACAGTTCAGTTGCATTTAATATACAACACATTTTCATGTACAAAATTTAGTAATAAATAGGTGACTTAAATCTCAAGACACAATATCCTCTGGCTTTTCATATTTGTGCCACTAAATAAATGTTTTGAGATACAAATTTTAAATTAAATTTTATATGTTAATTCTAACTATATTTCAACAATTTAACTGAAAAAATATTTTTGAAATAATATCTTGTAATTTTCTGACATTTGTTTAAATTTAAATCAACCCACTTGCAGAGTTTTACTTGTAAACAAATCAACCCACTCGCAGAGTTTTATGTGTAAAGAAATCAACCCACTTGCAGAGTTTTACTTATAAACAAATCAACCCACTCACAGTTTTACGTGTAAACAAATCAACCCACTTATAATTTTTTTTTAATTTTTCTAACCATCTTAAAGAATAACTTTTTTTCTTCTAAGAACCTATCACCCCTTAAACATATATTATCCATTTCTTGATTTTCAAGCATTCCCCTTAGTTTTTGTACAGGCTATAACTAAAACCTTGTTATAGTACCACATCAAGTATTTTATACTGTAACGTATCTGCTTGTTTGTTAATTTCCGGTATAAATTCTTTCCCAGGAACTTTAGCATACAAGTCCCTTCTTGATTAACCCAGTTTATTCTTCCTCGATACAAAATTTTAGTACATCTTAATTCCACAATCAGTACATTTCTCGTCACTTTAAACTTAACTACTTTTATAATACATGCTATAAATCACAGCGATTCACATGCTCAAAAACACACACTAGCTCAAAACAGAATCATAAATTACCCGGAACTTTCTTCATTCATTCCGCAGGCTTTCTCTGCCAGGCTTATATACTAAAAAAGAGGGCATCTCAAACAAACTTGGGCTTACTCGATAATTCATGATCAATCGAGAAATTCATCATATGTTACCAGTGTCACGTGACTTCTGCTGTCATTACAGTACATTTACTAATAAAACACACTATGAAAACAGACTACAAAGTTTAAATAATAGTTAATAGGGCATGAATTAGATTATAAATTAACAGCAGAGAAAATTTATAAGTTTAAGAGATTTTTTAAAGTTTCTGTAATTGTTTCTTTTGTTTGTGAATTGTTGAAGTATTTGTATGTTAAATTATACCTCTTTAAAAGATTCAGAAATGAATAAACATTAGATAACTTGAGAGAAGGTAAGTTTGTACAGTTTAAAGACAGGTTGAACAAGTAACAAAGAAACCTTATTACAAGTTCAACACAGTAACAAATGTACAAGGTTTGGAGAAGCTTTTGTCATTATCAAGTTCAAGTTATAAAAACATATATGTTTGGTTACATGACTGAGACTGCTTGAAGCTTAATAAATGTATTTTGTTGTTTGGTTACATAACTGAGACTGCTTGAAGCTTAATAAATGTATTTTGTTGTTTGGTTTCATGACTGAGACTGCAGGAAGCTTAATAAATGTATTTTGTTGTTTGGTTAAATGACCGAGACTACTGAAAGCTTAATAAAAGTATTTTGTTGTTTGGTTACATGACTGAGACTGCTGGAAGCTTAATAAATGTATTTTGTTGTTTAGTTACATGACTGAGACTACTGGAAGCTTAATAAATGTATTTTGTTGTTTGGTTACATGACTGAGACTGCTGGAAGCTTAATAAATGTATTTTGTTGTCTTGTTACATGACTGAGACAACTGTAAGCTTAATAAATGTATTTTGTTGTTTTGTTACGTGACTGAGACTACTGGAAGCTTAATAAATGTATTTTGTTGTTTGGTTACATGACAGACTGCTTGAAGCTTAATAAATGTATTTTGTTGTTTGGTTACATGACTGAGACTACTGAAAGCTTAATAAATGTATTTTGTTGTTTGGTTACATGACTGAGACTGCTTGAAGCTTAATAAATGTATTTTGTTGTTTGGTTACATGACAGACCGCTTGAAGCTTAATAAATGTATTTTGTTGTTT